TAGCCACGCTGGGAAGACAGATTTGCTTGCCGAGAAAATCGTATTCGGGGCCTTGCCATACGAGAAATCAGAGAGATACAACGAGTCATGAGCCCTGTCAGCACGAGCATCCAACCGATGCGACTGTAGGTACATAGTCTGGATTCCGATACTAATTGCAACGCAGTCAATCCAATGATGGAATGGCCCCATTGTTCAATCCCGGACCACGTCAAGGCCGCCTACACGATCTGACATGCACGTCGAGTTTGTAGGCATATCCCAGCTCTGGAAAGGAAAATTTGTACTTTAAAGGGTAGAGAGCCAAGGGCCTTGGGGCCTGATAGCCAGAAGGCGCGCAATACTGGTGTACCCCGTACTTAGTGCCTGGACGACAAACCCCATGGAACATAACTGAACTTAGTCACAAATTTCGGCAATATCCCGGTCAGAGCTACAAGCCGGGTCGTCTCAGCGTCCCTTGGCGTGCGGTTCAAACATACCTGATCCGAGATGGGTAGGTGCAATAGCTCCATATTCGGCTGACTCAGGCTGGAGGGCTTGGAATGTCTTTCTGTCCTTCCGTTGCTTTAAGCGAGGTAGCAGGACCAAGAATGGAGCCGATATCCATCGGAACACTCCTGCCCAACGAGTAATCCCGTCTTTGGGCGCCTCGATTGCGTGACGGGCCTTGCATCTTCAACCCGTGTTCAGAGACATATGCTGAGTGTACATCCTCATGTAACATTGCTTCTAGTCTTGTGAGAAGGGGGACAGTAATCAAAAATCAGAACACTTTGAAAATTAACAGGACCCTTTCCTGTCGGAGCTCGCGATGATCCCAAGGCTGGGGGCTGGGGGAAGAACCAATGATAAATGATAAAAAATCTCGAGTGGACCGCCAATGCAAAAGCGTTCTTTGGCTGAGGGCATATCTTGGCCAAACAAACCGTGCCGACAATTGTGTTGATTCATCATTTCTATATCAAGAGTCGAGCGCGGGATCTGGGGAAATCTTGCGGTTGTTGTCTATTTGGTTTCCGAATGGCACTGTCTTGGGAACGTATAGGGCGTCTATTATCCGGCAAGACTCCCAAACTCCTCTGCGGAGTATGGATTTCCAAATATGGAACCTGCAGGTGGAGGTCTGGCACCTCATTAAGCAGCAAAATTCAAAGGCTCAGAGCCGAGTTTTAAGAAATGGTCGAGCAAATAGCATTCTTCCACAGAAGAATTCGCTCACTGGTATTCCATTCGTTATCAGTAAGTTCGAGGAAACAGTTTAGGGGATCCTGGATGAGGCGGATGCAAGACGCCAGTTGCAGAGCCCTAAGGGAACGATGTCAAGCGACGATAATGTAGAATGGGTTGCAAATAATTGACCAATTTGGTCTTGGTCCCGAACATGTGGTTCGAAGGCATTGGTACTAGTCCGACGGCGAGAATGCTATGTAATGCCGAGGAGATACTAATGGTGAGAGATAGAGAGACTGGGCAAAAGGGTATGCGGCAGCTCAGCCTCATGGATAGTTGTCTCTGCCTGCACCACCACCAAACTTGGGCTTCATTGTGTCCCCAATGATATAGGCCCCGAAGTGAAGTGATTCTCCACTCCCAGGGCTATTTATCACATTGTGAATACGTGAAGAGGATGAGCTGGCAAGCATTTTACGAGATGCCACACGGAGAGGAAGCTCGGCTGCCGGGACTTTGACATCAAAGACATGCGCAGCTCGGGGGAGACGCAGCAAGAACCCGTGTTGCTGTGCTTTGTGTGCCGCTCCAAGCATGGCTGGCTGAGAGCAGTGACCACTGGTGGACGATCTTTGTCGCATCGACCCGCGCAATGGGCTGTTGTTGGCACAGTCTATGTTCCAATGAGGTTGTGACCTGCCAAGGCAGCGTTCCAAATCAAGAGGCATACTGAATAGTAGAATCTAGGTGCAGTCCAGCACAATGGCAAACCTACCCGTATTTTGGCGAGCCAGTGCGACAGTACGAGGAGGTATGTAATGGGTAGTAAGTAGAGCAGAAAATGGGCCGTTAGTCCACTGGCCAGGGTTTGGGGCGCAAGAAGCGCCAGAATGTCGGTGCAGCGCGGAATGCAGCCAGGTTAGAGTAGACGTGGCTTGCGGTGATCCTCCACATCTGATGGGAACAGAGGACAGCAAGGTGCATGCTGTCATTATCTCGTGCAACCATCAGCAAAAGACAAGACGGTGGTGACGGTATAGCTGCGTCCCCAGGACCAAAGAAGCTCAGCAAAAGGGAGCCAGGGCCGGGGTAGCTGAGGATGAAGACGGAAAAAGTGCGAGAGTCTAATAAGAAAGGAACAGGCTGTGTTGCCGTGTCTTACTCTTCGCTCCAAAGGTAGCCGATGCGAGATCCTTGACGACATCATGCCATCTCCTTAGTATGGGTGGTAGTATTACTTAGACAAAATTTGGTCGAACGTGGTTTAGTCCTGGGTTGATGGTGAAGGGAGGCATGGGGACGAGACAAGGAACTGCCTCCTAGGACATGAAGAGCATCAGTCCACCTCCGCCTCCGTAACTGCCTGCCCACCAAACAGGCAGACTGGACAACCCTTGCACACGATCAACTCGCACGTTGACAGTTTCGGGCAGTGAAATACAGCGGACGAAGCTGGGGAGCTGAAGAGATGGACGCATTGGGGAGAAGGAGCCTGGTTGAAGAATCGCCCCCATGCTATTTCGGGCCATGGCCATGACAATCGAGCTCTGTCGTTTCCACCGAGCTGCGGGCATGCTGCAGGGCGGAGATGGCTGCCCTTTCTTTCCGAGGTGAAGCTCCCAGCAACACGAACAGCGGCCAGCGGCGACAGATGGGATGGTGTGTTGTGGCGTGGCGTGGTGTGGTGGGGGAGCCAGGTCGCAGCCCGCATGAGCACGGCGAGGGGCGGAGGCTACTAGTCGTGGTTGCAGTCTTGCTGCATTGCTGCATTTCCCGGGGCGTTTCCAGGGCTCTACAGGGCTCTCGCGGCGCCGGCACGCCAATAACGCCAATAGAGAAGGGCCGAGTGCCCAAAGAGCAACCTCGACGTGCATTCCTTTTACCCCCTTTGGGCTTATGGTCTCAATTGCTCGAGGTCCATTGGCGGGAGTCGGTCACCCGAAAGGCAAAAGCACGCCTGCCCCTCGAAAAGAGCTCTCTGCTCCTTGTTCCTTGGTCTTTGCGCGTCACCACCATGAGCATGGTATGTCTCTCTTCCCCGGAACTGGACCAACAACGAGAGCAACGGCGCAACCATGTGCATCGAGCAAAGTACGAGGTACTCGGTAGAACAAGACAATGACCAGGAGGAAGAGAAAAGGACGGGCTTGGTCCTTGGAACCTGTGGAGTCGACATGCATGCCGTCATCAACCACCTCTGCATCCAAGCCATTCTGTTTCCCAGAACGATCGACAGCTGAAGGCTAGGCTCACCAGGCCTTGTGCGAGGTCAAGCAGAGGCTACATACAGGCTAGCAGTAGTTTAAAGAGAGGCAGGCTTTTGACCTGCTCACCCGGTATGCATACCATTGGCCATTACGACGAAAACAGAGAAAACGGTAATGGCTTGTCTCTGCCCTATCGTACGAAGTATGAGCTCAACCGTGCCTTGGAGCCACCCACACCTAACATCCCACCCACCCAACACTCACCACTTCCCCCAGCCCACCCATTGCCCCAATGCCTAATGCCTAATGCCCAATGCCCGCCTGCAGGAAACCCAGCTGCTCCTCGCTCACCAAATCGCTGCACCCAAGAAAAAAAAAAAAGGGCCCTGGCACATCTGCACAACCCCCCCTTCAACCTCCCCCAGCCCTGCTTCCCCTTCCTTGTCCCTGGTCAACTTTTGCGGCCCAGTCACAATTGACGGCCGGTGGTTCGTGTTCGTTGGCTCCATCCTCCATCCCATGCTCGCTCTCCCTCTCGAGAATCTCATGTGTCTCCATTCATCCCTCCATCCAATCCATCATCCGTCGATCTTTTCGCATCTGACTGCATCCTCCTCGTTGTATATGCTCGTGGTTTTTCTCATTGTCCTCACTCTCGCTCACATCGTGGTTGCTGCTACTTGCCTCTCGTTGACTCCCTCGTTGGAATTGTCCACATTCGCTTGCCACGCTATCAGCAATTGACTTATCTCTCTATCATTTGGTCTCAGCCCCTTCAGATAATGCTAATTTGGTTCCAACCTGACCATCAGCCTCCCGCCCCAATTTGTACGAGCCTCCAGCCTTCGTCAGGCTCAGACTCCAAGCCACTGGCTCTCACTTTACCACTGACATTGAGAGGAAGACACTAGCAAACATCTGCGGATGTCTTCTGTGCTGTCTTGAACACCAGAGTCTTCTTGAGATTGTACTCGACTCTCGTCTCGCAAGTCCTTTCGTCATGGACTCCCCCACAGAACGCATGCCAATTGCCTGCGTTCACTGCGCAAAAGCAAAAGCAAAATGTGACAAGAAGGTCAGTCAGACTTGTCGAGAAGACCCCCTGTTTTAGAGAGAAGGGGAGAGGAGCGGGTGCAAGAGATAGCAGTGCTACGTTGGCATGTCGGCTGTTCTAACATGCAGCATCGCAGGTCCCATGCTCAAGATGTGTGAGCAAACAGATTGTATGCCAGTCACGGGCCACTCGTCGCTCCTCTCACAATCCTAATCGACGGAATCCTCTCCCACGCCCAAATTCGGAGCGTGCTCTACATTCCTCTGCCTCATTCCACGTGTCACAAATGTCTCATTTCTCTGCTCCAACTCCGGGCGTCAACGGGGTCTCTCCCAGTGAGCTTGGTACCTCCTCACCGTCCTGAGATTGGAAGCTAATCGGCCGTTGCAGACAGCATGGGTCCTCGTCCCCTACCTCCTCACAGGTTGAGCCTCCCAGACACAAACCACCCAGTGCCAATTGCCCCGGCCGTATATGGCCAAGATATAGAGCCGCGAATGCTGCGAGCCGGCTTCACACAGACCCCTCCAGAACTGACTATCCCAATCACACCCATGATGCCAAACATGCCTCATATGGAGCACTTCGTACAGATGCACGGTACACCCTACGACCATGAAGGTGATAATCATTTCTTGGCTATGAGCAGTGCTCAGACGAGGATGCTGGATTTCGAGTCTACCAACTTGCTCGCGGATTTCATGAGCCCTCCTTCGGCCATGATGCAAGACCATACGGAGCAATTCCTGCTGCATGGTAAGATGGGAATTCCGACCCCGACCCATATCCCCCTTCCAATCCAGATTCCGGACGGAGCAACACCGTTTCCCGTTCACATGGATTTGGAAAGCCCTCATGGCCATTTGCAATTCCGGCCTCCGGCCGGTCTCTCGCCGTCTAGCTCTTCTACCACAAGTGGTCTGCAAGAGCCGGATGCCGTGTTGGCCGCCCATCATGCCTGGCCTTTTTTCCAGTGCAACCGGGTCGACAGGCAATACTCATTTGCTCCACCAAAGACAGCCGCCATCTATTTGGAGGGCCTCGCACAGACACTCCAAAACCAGGCCACTTGGACGGCATGGACAGCTCAGCTTGATGAATCATCATTGGATATTGCCACCGAGCGGAAAATTGCCACTGAACCGATCGTAGGATGGTCTCGAGAGAAATTGCTCGCCATCACTCAAAGCTTCCTGCATAAAGCGCTGGACATTCACAAGGCTGACCATGGCCGAGAAGACACGCCGTCGAGTCCGGATTCTAGCCGAGACGCTTTCTTGATGTTACCCCCGCCGGATGTGATGCAGTACTTTTTGAGGAGTTACGTGGTTCGATATGAGCCGTACTACTCATCAGTGCCTGCAGGCCGACTGGATCCCAACGTTTTTATGGGATCAAACAACAGCAAAGCAGCAAGCCTCCTGATCCTGCTCATGGTCGCCTCGGGAGCTTCGGCAACAGCCACAGTCGAGGCTAGGTACATTGCCAGCGGTTTAACGGAAGCCTGCAGAATCTCCCTCTTCGATACGATCGAGAAGGATGTGCTCCAAGCACGTGAGGTCTTGGTGCTCCGATCGGCTCTTTTGTTCACTTGCCTTGCCGCTTGGTCAGGGGATAAGTGGCATATGGATGTAAGTCAGACGCTGGATGTTTTGATCGACCTCGCCCCTAACTCTGAAATAGATGGCCATGGGCCAGCGAGGCATGTACCTAGCTGTAAGTCATCTTCCTGCTGGATTGGGGCGTCGCTGATCATTTCCCAGATGCTGGCGCACTCTGGAATGCTTGAAGCTGAGGAGTGGTCGATTGCCATCGAAAAACGTCAGCAGGATCCAGAAGGGGCCTGGGAGGATTGGAAGGAGCACGAGGCCAAACACAGGTGAGCTGTCTCCGTTAAAAGGGAAAGGGGCCGAGTTGCGTCATGCTGACCTAGAGAACAAGGCTCGCTCACTCTTGGGTCATTGTCGATCAGGAGATGAGTTTGTTTTCTGATACCACTCCCTTGTTATCAATAGTGAACCTCCACGCACCAATGCCTGACTCAGATGACCTTTGGCATGCGGAGACCGCATCCGAATGGCTTGAGTTGTTCGACAAAGCGCATGGACCGACCCATCAGAGTCCTGTATCCGTGAGGGACTTTTTCACCAGCTTTGTGGACGGGGAGTTGGCGGGTAAGGAGCTTTCACCTACCCAGCTTCGACTCCTCTTGCACCCCATCCAGGCTCAAGTATGCCAGCTACGTCAATTCATTGCGTGCCTACCTGATGGCGGTAACCATGCCAAAGCATCCCGTGCCGTTTCAAAAGCGGCAACCAAAGCTCGTTTGGAGGAGATCTCTTCCTTGCTGCAGCATTGGTATTCCATCAGCAAACAGAGTTTCGCTGGCAACAAAGGTACATGTTGGACGACATGTGCAAACCTAATCATGTATCACCTAATATCACTCAACGCCATAACTAGCTTCAAGGACATCGAGCAGTTTGCTCGCCGCGAGGTTGCCCTTGGCTCGTTCCGATACGCGTCCTGGTTGCAGATGCGGTGTATAGACCAGCCAGAAGAGGCCTTCTTCCATTGCGGACAGATACTCCGCTTAATCCGATCGATGCCCCGTCCTGTCCGGCCGCCGTGGTGGGCAGGTGCAGTGTATCGAGTGGCATTGACAGGGTGGGCGACCAGCATGGCCAACGGCAACGGCCGCTTTTCACCCACCCATGGTCCGGCGGAACCTGACAGGCCGTTCGCAATTGATGATTTGACTCCAGAAAACGAGGCCATCAGCCGATATATGAAGTACCAAGAAGGCACTCCAATGCTCACTCGACCGGATGGATCTCTTGCCCCCATGGATGTCCCTTCGAACCTGCTGCAACACTGCATTGAGGTTCTTGATGACGACTCGTCGATGCGACTGACGGATGGCATCAAGCGCAAACTCCGCATCTTCATGGCAAGCTGGAGAGACTATTGAGCCAACACTGCCGTGGCCACTCGCAACCACATGTAAGGGCCACCGGGCCCTTGACTTACCACGTTTGGGCCAAATACCACCACCACCACCAAGTCTTAATGTGCCACTTTCACATTTCTTCTCGCTACGGCGTGATGTTTCCGCCTTTTGTACAGTTGATGAATATACGTCTCATGTTTTGTGATGATGACGACAGCATTGTGGGCGTTCATAGAGTGACGGGACACTTTTACCCTAATAGGATGAGCGGCAGACATGTTCTCGGTGACGTTGACACCATATCTTGCTCTTAAGGAGGGAAGATTGAGCGTGTTCAATGTTGATCTGAGAAGGATTTAATTGTCGGCGATATATTGTGGGAGGGTCCTGTTGGCCATCAGAGATTTTTGTCGTGGTGCCGCTTTTGGGTATGGATCGGACCTGGGTTGGTGTCGTGAGAAGGGAAGAGAGATGCAGACAAGTCCGTATGAATTGGAAAGACTCTTTCGAAACCAGTTTGGGTGTCTCATATCCTCAACCGCATTGTGCTCATTCTCGCTGCCGTCCGAAGAAGAACAGATCCAAGAGCGTTCCGAGTCTTGGGGCCAGAGGCTGCGGGTGTACCTTTGTTTATGAGGTCCAGGTCCAGGTCCAAGGTGGACCTTCCCGACCCTCCCGACCCCAAACACCAAGGGGCAAGAAGAGGGCAAGTTGGAAATGGCACGGGGCCTTTTCTAAAACAACGAGAGAAGCACTAGACAGAGGATTGCATCACCGTGCCGAAACGACTTCGGAAGTGCCAGAACCAAGGTTTGGTGGCGTGGAATGTCGATGGAAGCAAATCAGGTCGAGGAGACGGAGCATCGGTCGAGCAACTAGGGACAGGATATGTCGGGCAATCGGACAAGACGAACGGCCGACAGCGTGGTCGACGCTACAGTAGGTGGACGTTAGATCTACAGTAGGACCTTGGTGACGCCAAATGAAGATCATCCGTGCCTGTAGGAAATTCGACGCTGGCGAAATGCTGGGGATATGGGGGACCCTAAACCCAATGTCGACTTGCTTCAGGACTTTAGCAAGCTATAGTATGGTCCGTCGAGGGAGCGGATCTGAGCAAAATGAAGCGTTTGGGGCCGGAGGGAGCGCCCAAGGTCACCATACCGAGTAGGGAGCTATAGATGGCAAGGCGAAGGGGACCAACAGGGCCAGAATTAGGAGCTACGGAGTTTGAAGACGGGGTTCCATGAGGGAGAGTAATAGCGACGGCTACTGGACTGTGTCCTGCGATGTGGTTTGTTTTGGCGACATCAGAGACAGGGGAATAGGTACACATCTGAGGATGGATGGGCTATCAAAACGGGTGAACATCAGAGCCTTGTCATCAGGTCGTGTGAGCTGGATCTGCCCGTCTGAGGCTGCTTTCCAGAGCCTTACTTTTACCCCTCAGTTCAGTCAACTTCAGGTACGAGTACGGTATGTAGATACGAGAAGAAGATGGGCTGAATCAACCCCTCAGACACACGGCCTTGGCATCGGCCCAAAAAAGGGGGGATGAGAAGGCAGGAGTGGAGACACCCTCATGACGCCAGATGCAGGCACAAGACAAGGGGGTCAAGGGGGTCAAGGGGGTGAACTGCCACGACTAAAAATGGAAGGACGAAAGCAAGGGGCCCTCACGTCCCTCACCCCTGCTAGCGTTCGGAGTTTCGAGCCCCCAGAAAGGCCAAGCGCGGTAACGACCAATACATGGCGCGGTACCGGCGCTGACGGTAGCGGTCATTTATCGCACGAAGAAAATCAAGCCATGTTCGCATTTTACAAGCTTCCGTGAGCATCAAACCAAATCTTGGAACCTGAGACATTGTGCACGATGTGCCACAGACTAACAATGAATGAATGACGAGTCGATTGATCGTCAAGACCTCAATGGGGGGAAATGAGGTGCAAGCATGTGCAAGTGCAAACATTTCTACCAGTGCTGGATACTTGATACAACCCAGATTACTGGGTACCTCAATGGGCCTCGCCCTCGCCCTCGCCCTCGCCCTCGTCCGTCCAACTTGAAGGTTGAAATGAACGCGAAGCAGGCCGCCGGACTTCCGAGTTGCCTGGTCTAGACTGTGGTTGTTGTGTATTATGGCCTCTGCTCAACGTTTCTTATCGTGTTATCTACTCGGTGCCTGTACGAGGTACATATGTACATAGTCGTTGTGCCGTTTCGCCTCCCATGAGTGCGTGCACATTCTACCTCCATTCCGTGGTGAGTGCCCGATCCCCCGCGGCCGAGCTTTGAGCCTTTCACAAGGCCATCGTGCACTCACTCACGGGCAAGTCAAACTCTCTCCTGGCTTCTCCATCCGGATACTATGCCATCTGTTTCTGTAGACGTCAAGGTTCCTTTTTCCTTTGGATGAGTGTGGTGGTCTCCCATCGGTGAGGCTGCCAATTGTCACCAAGCCAGCCCCCTCCATACCGACTAAGGAAACTTGAGAATGAGAGCCCCCCGAGCCCCCCGAGCCCCTCGAGCCCCTTGAACCCCTTGAACCCCTCGGCGGGCTGCCTGCCCCGCAGCTCAACGACATCAGTCTTCACCGCCTCGATATACACGGTACATACGACGGGTTCGACTCTCGACTGGTCGCGCGAATCCTCGGTGAGGCTGCCAGCCCCAGACCCTCTCACCTTTTTCTCCCGACTCACCGACCTCGCAGCGTCGAAGAATCAATAGTATCAATAGTATCAATAGTCGCGGTCGTGGTCGCACTCCGGCCTAGTGTCGGGGCATCTGAGAGCCACCACACACAAACTTAGTATCTGCCCCCTTTTTCTCTCTTATATTGTCGATTGACTGCTATTTCTTTTCGCCTGCTTTTGGCGGTCAGTTCGTCAACATCATCATCGTGCTCACTTGGATTCCTTCCCTCCTCCAACCTCGTGCTTTTAACCATCACTCCAATCATCTGGTTTAGATTGTCCGTCATTCACTTGTCGGATATCTCGTCGTCGCCCCTCATTTTCCACTCTGTCCAATCCGTGTCTCACCGCCTGCTTACCCGGCCACACACTCACCATGAGCGGCAAAGAACAGATCCGCCTCGACGGCAAGGTTGCCCTCATCACTGGCGCTGGTCGTGGTCTTGGTGCTGGTCTTGCCAAAACCCTGGCCGAGCGTGGTGCTGCTGTCTGCATTAACTATGCCAGCTCCGCCAAGCCAGCCCTGGCCACGGTTGCTGAGATTGAGAAGGCGGGCGGCAAGGCTGTTGCCATCCAAGCCAACATCTCCAAGGTCCCCGAGATCACCAAGCTCTTCGAGGAGGCCATTAAGCACTTTGGCAAGCGTAAGTCGACCTCGAAGGCCATCCAGGAAACGGGCTCTGCATCATGTGCTGACCAGCCCATCCAAAGTGGACATTGTCATCAACAATGCTGGAATGGAAGCCTTTTCCAAGCCGGAGGATGTCACCGAGGAGTTGTACGATCAAGTCTTCGGTCTCAACACTCGTGCTCAGTTCTTTGTCGGCCAACATGCGCTGAAGTACCTCAGCGGTGAGTCAAGATCCAAGGATCCTGGGTCGCTCCTCCCCCTTTTTGATCCCTCTGGCTGACGGTGAGAGTCCTTGCTCAGACGGAGGCCGAATCATCTTCATGTCGTCCATTGCTGCCCGTCTGGGTGTCCCCAACCACGCATTGTATGCTGGATCCAAATCTGCGGTTGAAGGCTTCGCTCGCTCTTTTGCCGCCGATGGTGGTCCCCGACGCATCACCGCCAATGCTATCGCCCCGGGTGGTATCAAGACCGACATGTTTGCTCAGAATGCCTGGCATTATTCGCCCGGCGCCACCAAGGATACCCCCATCGAGGTGATCGAGGCCGGTATCGCCAAACTCATTCCTCTTGGTCGATGCGCCGTTCCCGACGACATTGCCAAGGTCGTCATGTTCCTGTGCCACCCCGACAGCGAGTGGATCAACGGTAAGTTTTCTCTTGTCATCCGCTTTGGCCTTGACCGAGCCACTAACCGCCATCTTTCTAATTTAGGCCAAATCATCACTCTGACCGGTGGCAGCGGCATTGCCTAAAGGGCTATTCTGTGCGTCACCCTCTTACCATCGTGAGCTTTTCTTCCCTGAGAATATTTTTGGCTTCCAAGAGCGTGCCTTCCGAAGTAAAAAGTTCTTTTTGGATTAGCAAAGTCGGTTGGGTAGAACAGCCCTCGTTCACGGGTTGTGAATGATTGGGGATGTGAGAATTGGATGCATGTCAAGGCGGAACCACAGCTACATAGACACGATGATCAGAGCAAGAGATTGGAAAGGAAATAGAATTGTTATTATCTTTTTCCACCGCTGTTCTCCCTGCGACTTTTATAATAAGGGTTCCAAGTTCCCTATGCCTCGCGCTTTGCTCGTAGTATGCACACGTGACCCAATGCCCCTTTTCACGTATAGTCTGATTTCAGCTTTGACTTCACATCTGACCGCTACCCAGCGAATGCCGTATTAATACCCCTTGGAATTACCGCTATTGCCATTTTGAAACAAGTGCTCGGACATGCCACAAGCACCTCGCTGCTATGCTTTCTTGAGATTCAACTACTACAAAGTCCTCCGTCCGGACATCGACCAAGCCCGAATCAGGAAGCCACGGCGAGCCTGATGGCCGACTCTCCGACGTCTCTGGGCCCACGAGTCCCCAGCGAGCCGCTATAGCGAGCTACTTGGGGATTCGGTGGGTATCTTCTGCTGTCGAATGTGGTATCGTGTCATGATCAGATCTGTCCAGCACTCCATCTCTCGACAGTACCTATGCAACCGTATGCGCATGCGGAGGGACCTGTGCAAAGGCGCCGTAGCGAAAGCGAACAGCAGAAGTCCGGCGACAAATCAGGTCCGGCGACCCAGTCCGAGGCTTGAGGAACACTCCTCTAAATCGTGGAAGCCTTTTCCGGAGAGGCCAGCTTCCGCACCTAATAAAGCATGCGTCGGTATCAAGGTTGTTGACCAGCTTGATGCGCGTCGGCAGTGGTCCTGCACGGGACGAGTTCATTCTGACCAAAGACCCCCGCAATGGAGTCGTCCGCGTGTCATATAAAGGAGAGGAGCCGACCCCTCAGTGTGTGAACTGTTATAGACTCCCGTGTCAGATCCCATCATGGCTGAAGCATCACCCACTGGTCTTTGATTCAATATTATAACCTTCACATATTTGCAAGATGTCACACAAGGGGGTTCACTTGTCGATACACAGACAGGACCATGCGCCAGCCTCCGAAGGGCGTGATTTAGCGCCGAGATGACAAGATCATGACTCCTACTGGGTATTCATTCGCACTAGTATATCTCATGGCAAGTGCCAACTGATGAGAGCTCTTCAATAAAGTCACTCCAGCAAACGTTTTGCCGTTTTCAGAGCATAGACAGTTTCAAATAGCGGATTGACAGATTGCGTCTTGAAAAAGCTGGGTGTCATCGCCATCGCGCCGTGACCAGTGACCAGTGAGAATCTCGTTGATATCAAGGGTTCTTCTCACCTCCAGATGGACAAGCTCATTCTTCACGAGGAGCCTATTTCGGGCAATTGTTACAAGATCCGCTTGGCTGCGGCCTTGTTGGGCATTCCCCTCGAGCGTCGCATCTACTCGATCCTTAAAGGTGAAACGAGAACAACAGAATTCCTGCAGACCGTCTCTTCCTTTGGCAGAGTCCCCGTGCTTCAGATCGGCGACGCCACGTTTCTCCCTGAAAGCAATGCGGCCTGCTTCTATCTTGCTGAAACGGCGACGGCAGCATCCTCCACGCCACCCCCATCGATCGCTCTCATCCCTCAGAGCGCGATGCGGCGAGCTGAGATGCTGCGTTGGATGTTTTTTGAACAGAATCAACATGAAGTCAACATCGCAACTCTACGGTTTTGGACACACGTTGTTGGGGAGAAGAACCTGGATCCATCTCGACGCGCACAAATCGAGGGTAAAATCAAGGCGGGGGAACAGGCATTGGATTGTATGGAAGAGCATCTTGCAAAGAGTGAATGTGGTTGGTTCGTGGGTGACAGTGTGAGTACCCCTTTCACTCCAACTGCTTCATTTTTCAGCAAAGTCATTGTCATAGCTTCCGCTATTATTTGGCACAGGCTAAACAAGCATTCGCAGATCACCCTAGCTGATATCTGCCTCTTTGCTTACACTCATATTGCTCATGATGCTGGATTCGACCTCGCGAGATGGCCATCAATCCTCAAGTGGTGCGACCGGGTCAAGCAAGTCCAGGGGTATGTTGCTATGGACTAGCACTGCACCGATGATCTGGCCCCGAATAGAAGACGCGGCTTTACCAGCGCTACGGGAGATTGAGGCAGCACCAACACAACGACAAAGGATTGACAAAATCTATGGTTTGCCTTTTTTTGTCGACGTAGTGGTATCAACAAAGGGTGCTACCCTTGCCTTTTCAACTGGGTCTGCTTTGTCCTCAATGATCGTTCTGCGACAAGGCAGCCGTTGTTTCTCGAGTGTCATGAAATCAAGAGCCCTGTTTTACTCACGGTCTTTGCCTCCATGTCTTGAACTGCTGGACAAAGGGACGGCAGACATGCCATATCATGCAAGAGAATAAATGCTGCCGTGAAGTCGAGTCTGCAACTTGTCTACCAACACACTCTTCACCAACAACGACTTGCTGCACGACGCGTTTCTCGCTGAGTCGAGCAAGCTATCGACCATGCCTGAGACAGTCGGTTGCATGCATCTGCAGAAGGCCGGACGGCAGAGATTCGTTGATCGATTTAAGGCGGCGACACAGAAGAAGACGGCAGCAGTTCGAGGATGGTATGATAGACGAGGCCCAGGGAACCTCAAGTCAATGGTCGAGAGTGAGTCGGAAGATTCAGCTACCCAGATTGAAGAGTTCTTTACTCACGGCGGCGTTGTAGAACTTCGTGGATCGAAACGACGCCAACCAGAGATACACAGCGAACCTTCACAAGCGGCTCTGTGCAACCCCGAATATCCTGAAATCGTCTATGAGATCCCGCGCGAGGCCGGATCGGTCAGCAGCCTTTCAACCATGCTCCCGCGAGCGTCCTCATCTACCATATCACTCCCATCGACTTTCTCAATGGGTTCAATAAGCGCCGTCGAACCAGGAGCACCTCAGCCATCTCTTTCAGGGCCTCATTATGTCATTGATACGCCAGATGACTTTGAACGATTCCGGTCGAAACTACGAAATCAAGTTGAGCTGGAATCTACCCCTGCATCGCCCAAGGAGAAGCCCCGAGTTCACACGAAGGCCTTGAAAGTGGATTCGACGCCAATCCCGATCGAGGAAGAACGGCCCAAACCCCAATTCGAGGCATATGCTAGCAAACCAGACACCAACCACCAGAGCCCGGTCACGTTTCAAGCGTACTCGGCAGGCTCGAAGCCCAAACGTGGCCATGTGAGTTACATTCCCCCGAGCTTGCAATCTGGGTATATCAATGGCGTCCCACCAGCACTTCGAGCTGCGCACAACGCAGCTAACTCACAGGGCAAGTCTACGGGCATGGCAGCTGGTCATAGCGGTCAAAACTACTCGTGGCCCCTGGTGGATTTTTACAAGGAGATGTTTGTGAATGCTGATCCGTCACAAACCAATCTTTCCGCTCGGTGTCAGGAACCACGCATTCCATCAATGGAATTCTCTGGGAGAGGACTGGAGGACGAGATGAAGGCGGTACTGGACAAGTTCGACAAGCCAGTGGCCGAGAAAGAAGCGGTGCCAGTGCAAGATCGAGCGTGGATGTCGCCTAGCTCACCTTTGCACCCTACGGCTTACGAGATGGAAGCTCGTATTCCAGTAGTGCCAGCGAAAGCAGTGGAGGCCCGTTGCCATCCGCGAGTTCTTACGGTGGGAGCAGCGCAGAAACAGGAGAGCACGACGAGCACCGTATCTCGGCGGTCGGGTGAGGACCGGAGAGTCAAGGCTGGCGAGTACAACTGGCCCCGGTTTAGTGACGACCTTTTCACGGATCCAGCCGAAGAACACTCGCGTCAATATCGGCGTCGGAGACGGGAAACAAGACGGGATCTGGCGAGACGTGTGAATTGTTAAGGAATAAAGGAGGCTTGAACTGGCATTTGGGACTTGGGAGCCATATTGGTTCCTAGTTATTGGTCGGATATCCTTGGAGGTAAGTCATAGGTTTTTGGGATGGCTCATGGTCGGGCTTGGGTCGGGATGCTGAATGGTGGGATTCATTGTCTGATTGTCGGCGATGGGCCGGGATTACTCGATTTGGTCCATCCGAGCAGAGATCAAAAAGGGACTAAGACTTACCAAAGGGCCCAAGTGGCGGTCAGAGGAGAAACATAGGTTTCTGATGATTTTCCTTTTTTTTTGTTTTTATCGCATCACATGGTGTTTCCTTTCACGTGAAAAGCGGACCAGAGGAGAGATCCCGATTCTCTCCTTGTGAATCTCGGGATGATTAGGCCGAGGAAGAAAGAAGGCAGCAATTCGTAGCCTGGGGCACAGCTGTTCCTCCGGGCATGAGCATCATTGTGATGGGGATGGGTGAAAAGGAAGCCCCTCGGGCCTTGGCGCCTGCCTCGGTATGGGCTTCGTGGGCTTCATGGGCCTTGGGCTTTGTACAGTACTGTGGGCATTTGGGCCTTATGGGGCACGTCTCAGGCCTAACATGCCCATCAGCCACTCGCCCACCCAGAGTGAACCACCC